GGTGGGGTCGCCCCTCCTGCACCTGGCTTTGTGTTCACGTGAAAGACTTGTGAGACTGTCTGTGTAAAATTTGGGGATAAATACCTGCTGTAACTTTCAATAAATGGGTTCTGCTCATTTCACTGAACAGTTGTCCACTTTCTTTCTCTTTCTTCCTCTTTATATCTATCCCTTCTCTTTCTTTTGTTTAATATCTATCCCTACTACAGAATTGGCTTCTGTGATAGACAGAGTCCAGTCTCTTTCTTTCTCCCCCCTTTTCTCTTTATTTCTCCAGAATAATCGCCGACGCTGCCACATCTTCCAAGGGACCTCCTAAATCTCCCCAAAACTTGCATGGGCTGGTCCCCCACACTGATAAACTATGGTTGTTCAGACTTAGGTGTTTGGCAGATTTTTCTAGAAGTTGCCAATAGTTCCCACACACAGAGATTTTTCTAATGGCATCGTGGTGGTAGTGCTATTAACATGTGCTTTTTAGTCATCTATTAAAAATCTATTAAATGTGTCACCATGTGGAAGAATGTACATAAGTCAATAAAAAAACATATTCCAAATGACCAATGCAAAATCCATCAGACGTAATGAAAAATTCATTAGATTATAAACCAAGAGACTTTAATGCAACAGAGACAAAAACTCTGATATTAGTGTCAGATGACACAATGTAACTGGCCTTTAAGGAATTACCTACTGCATTGTGAGTACTGGAGTAGTACTAAGGAATGTCCACAATACTCACTTCACAACTACACACTTGCGTGAGCCTGATTTTCTTCATATGCCTCATGGAAACAGCCTGCATGAGAAAACATCATAAACAGCCTGCCTTCTAGTAAGCAGATTTGGAGACGTTTACAAAAATGTAAAACAATGTCATACTCCTATTCTTGTAATTATGGTTGTGTCACATAAATTGTTACTTATGTTAATATATAATGGACTTATTACTGTTATTTTTAAATAAACTAAATACTTTATAAATTCCTAGTTTTAATTTTTAACACAGTATATATCTACATATAATGAACAAAAGAATGAGATCAAAAAGTTTGGGAATCATTGTTCTATACGGTCTAACCATAAAATTTATTGCCTTTTTTCTACACGGACTTGCCTCCTTCAGTTAAGACAGGCATACATTTATTTGAATCCTTTCTGCACTGTAATATGTGTATAACTGATTTACAGAGTCTGCCGACAGCAAACTGTTTCTAAACATTACAAAAGATGTTTTATCTATAGGTGAATTAAAATTAATTTCCCAAACTGGTAAAAGGATAAACATTTTAAACACAATAAGAATGCCCTAAGTCATAAATGCACTATGATTTTTTTAAAGGCCCTTACGACCATCTTAAATTGATAAATTTAGGATCAGCTTGTTTGAAAATAAAAACTACTCATACACTAAAAAAAGATGTCTATAAAAGATGCCTTGCACACTGAAAGAACAATGTGCAAGTTCAAGTGAAGACTGTAAAAAGTGAAAAGCAAGTCCATGTGTCACTGCTGACATCCACATCACAGGGAGAATGAGGACCCCACTGTGCTCATTAATTACTCTGGGGGAATTCACAGCTTTCGATCACATTTCAAGTTATGTAGAACTCAGACTCCGCATTCTTACATCAATCTATCTCCTTTTCTGCTAAGCACTGGGAAGTTAAAAACCATGCCAGCTGCTCAGCTAAAATGGAAACACAAATAGCTGCTATCAGTGTGCTGGAGACACCACAGAATGAATTATCTATTTCCCTAATGGTTACCCACATGCCATCAATAATGAAAAACTGTGTATTAATAGTCCTACGGGACAAATGAACAGTAACTGCCTATGCAGATGATGGATAATAACCAAATAGTTCAGAGAGCATTTTTAAGTGGAACTTAAATCTGCATGAGCACATACCTCAAAGTTATACGAGGCAGCAACTTAGCAGCATTTCTATATTCTCCCCCTCCTTGAAGCATGAAAGACTTGGAAAATAAATTCAACTCCAACAGAACTAAAATGAGAGATTACTGTCACTATGGAATTCAACCACAATTTGTTCTGAGATTATAAATATTTGAAATGATTTTTTAAAAATCTACTAGCCTAAAAATGTTGAGTAGTGATATCAGATTGATAATGAAACTCATTTAGTTTCCAGCTTATGAATGGGCAAGGTTATACAACTAGATGGATGAAACTTACAATTTATCCTCTTGTATGAAACCAATGTTACAGCAGCAGCTAGGTTCTCAAGCTAGCTCACAAACTCAGTAGTTCATGTCCTGGAAATACTACATCCTTGCCAAGGACTGACTTGGGCAGAATACACTGTTGTAGAAGTTAAGGACACGTGAGACAGTAACACAAAATTTAATAATGTATTATGAAATCTCTCATTTGAGGAAAAAGATCCTGAGTAGAAGAACTAGAGCCTTTTTTAAGTCAACTCAAAGGAGAGCATTAACTTTCCTGAGGCAACTAAACAAGAATTAGAAAGATTTTACTCTCTCTGAGTAATACATAAGTTCTAAAGTAATGAAATCAGAGAAAAAGGAATAGATTCCCCTGATATACGTGACAAGAGAAGGGAGACCATACAAAAATGTGAGGGTCAACAATTTCCTGGGCCTACCACTTGGTCATATTGTTGACCCAGGGCAACTTGGTTGGGGAGTCCTGTAATTCACACGGCAGGATGCCTTTGGTGTGGCAAGAGAGAGGCAGCGTGCCAGAAGCCACCTGTGGGTAGGGCAGTTGACTTGCTTTCATCACCACGTTAACTACCCATCCAGGGAGGCAGTGTGGTGCAGTGCCAAGGAGACAGCGCTGGGGCGTGGTCTGTTAATAGCTAGGTAGATGTGACAACTCCCTTAGCCTCACGAAATGTATATTTACTGCCTCACATGTGAAAGGTGGGAAAGACTTACTTGTATCAGTGCAGAGACCAAATGCAGTAGTATGTTAATAAATGCAGTGTCTTCGATGAGACAAAACCGAAGGTACTCTAGTACCTACTAAAGCAGAGTACGAGAAAATAAGTACAACCAGAAGTCCTACTCGTCTTGGATTAAATAATAGATAGAATTCACTGGCAGTGAAGGTGAGTTATCTGAACAGAGAAAATAAATTAGGACAATGTTTAATTTTTCGGTGAAAACCAAGCTCGGGCAGCCGGAAGCTCTCCTTGGGGCTCCTACTGTTCCTCCTGCCAGCCATTCCATATGCTGCAGCCTGTGCAAACTCAGGTAGTGGCACCGGCTTTTACAACCTAACTAACCTGCTTACTCAGGCTGTGAGTTCCTTGAAGGCGGTGACTTCAACCCACTCTGTATTTTCAGCAGGCAGCAGCACCTGGTGCACAGGAGACTTCTACTAATAATCACTGAACGGAACCCTTGATGTCACAGGCAGGACGCTACAGGGACAATGAGGAATTCTTACCAGCAGAATAAAATGGAAGACTGTAGTTAAAGACATGTGATGAACCTCAGCACGCACACAAAATAAATACTAATCCACAGCAAAAAAGAGAAAAAAGAAATGGACAGGATCGACGAAAATCAATCTTCAAAACTTGAGGCCAGCACACTCTCTCGTCTCTTCCTCTTGCACAGTAAATGCGCGTCAGGGAACTGTTCCTTGACAGCCTGATTTCTGGCGATGACACACCTGGGGCAGTGCCACGAGGGATGCATTTTGCGTACGACAAACGTCGACGACAACCCGGCAGCAAAACGGGCTTCCACCGTGCGGGGTGCTGTCTCTCAAACACCCCCAAACTTCCCGCCGTGGGACTGGCCGGTCTCCACCCGCCGCAGCCGCGACCCGACCCGGACGTCTCCCCCCTGCATCCCGGCCGCGGGGAGGCGTCCAGCTCCCGAGGCGCCCCGTGCGGGAGGGAGGAGGCTCGGGGGGCGCGGGGGGTTCGCGGGCTCGGACACGCCGCCGCAGACACGGCCGGCCCGTGACCCCGAGGCACGCTTCGGGTTCGGCCCGAAAGAAGCGACACCGGCCGAGCCC